CCGGGGAAGCGTGCATCCGCTGCAGCCCTGTGGGGCACCTGCCTCCCTCGCAAGAGGTGTTTGCGCTGTTGGGAGTAAATCCAGCCACAGCTGACTCAGGTTGGAGAAGCTTTTGTTTCCTGTCACTGCCTTAAAATGAAACCTCACTAGTCATGAATATTTGTTACTGAATGTTACAGTCATATTTGCAGGGAAAACATTATAGGCATTGCAACATGATGAGACATGAGATGTCAGAGGTTTCCTAACAGCTCGTAGCCCATTACAGTAGTGGAAAGTGACCCGGGTTGTTTGTTAGAAAGATAAACTTTAGTTTATAGCTCAGAGTAACAATAACGCTGAAGCGAGGCGGGAGAGGGGGGGGTTGTTTTTTTCTTTTTTCAAGGAAGTATGCCCTGATAGTATGCTTGAGGCAGGGAGTGTTAGTCACCGTTTCCCACTTGCAGGTGTGAGGATGTTTGGGAAAGTTCTTAGGCTGAGGATGTGTCTTGTTACTGAGCACTGTTGAGCAAGCTTTACGCTGGTGCTGTTGCAAAAACAAAAATCAGCTTGAAGAATGAAATTTGGAAAAGAGTGAAAGGAAAACATTTTAGCTCCGGAACACCAAGATGTGGATAACAATAGGCACTTCTGTATTTCCCTTAAAGTGAATCTTCGGGAAAACAAGTTGATATTTCCAGTCTAATTTGCTCTGTAATTTTCCTCCTCAGGCCGGTTAACACTGGGGGAAAATGACACTGAAATCATTCACCTCGAAGTGTTTTTTTCCCGAGAAAAAGAATCAGACCATTGTATCTATGTGGATTTTGAGGCTACCGAGGGAAAGTGCCTTTGAATAGTACTTGCACTTAGAGACTTTCAGTACTTGGTCAGAAAAAGTCACGCTTAAACCAGTGTCTTGAGCTTTGCTAATAATTTTGTAAGGCCTGCACAAAGTTTAGTGCTAACTGAAACCTGTATTACGTTTGTTTTTACTGTTACTACGTAGATTAATAATTTTCATGTATTTCCTTCTGCTTAAACTGTAAGTCTATGAAATCTTTTATATAGAGTAAACATTTTAAAAGTGACTGAGATTTGTAGGGCCCTGACAGGTGTAAGATAAAGGTTCAAGTTCTCTTCTACCTCAAATTTGGCACTTTCAGAACCACTGAATTTAGAGAGCTTATAATTTAGTTAGTGCGTTTAGAGACAAAATAGTCCCGTCTTGTCATGCCTGAAACTTCCAGCAGTGAAGTCTTTCTCCAAAAAGGTGACGGCAGGCACTGTACCGCTGATAGCAACAGCGGTCTGAGTCCCCATGACTTATATTCAGACATGTCATATTCAGGTATGAACTAGGCACAGTACTGACCAAAGCTGCTTTTTGGAAGCAAAATGACAAAAGCTATCTGAGATGGGAACAGAAGTGCCAGCACTAAATGGTAGATGAACAGCCAGTAGCAAAGGTGGCAGCTTTGGGATTTTATATGGAATATAAAAATGAGGCAGTATTACCTCGATTTGTTTCTCTAGGCTGGATGCTTATCTTAATATTCAGTAATACTCTGTGTCCTGAAGTAGGGTGTAAGAGGAGGCATGCGTTTTCTTTAGCGCAGGCGTGTGTTCCTCCTGCTCTGAGCGCGGCTGCCTGGTCGGGGCATGCCTGTGCCCCTCGCCCCATCCCCCTGCTCCCAGGCTGTTCTCATATTTTGTCTGACAGCACGGGCTGCCTATTAACATAACTATAGCCTCTTTGTGCCCTCCGTCAGAAGAAATCCTGCACCAGAATAAATTTCAGAGGTGACAGATTGGAACGGTTGGACCAGATGATGGCACACAAAGGTCTTTGGGATCAGCAGCACCTGTGGCTTTGCACCTCCCTGCTTTGGCACTGGGCAGGAGCAGCGGTGGGCACGTTTGCTGCCCACCTCTGGCTGGTCTTCTCCCTGGATGCTGGAGCCCGGGCTGGAGGTGAGGGCTTTCAGGTAGACTCTGGGAAGGAGATGGCCACAGCCACAATAAGCAGTTAACTATCTTTACATGTCCCCAGGAAGGGGTGCTCGGCTCTGCTATTTTAGAGCTAAGAAAAAAGTGATATTCCGGTCCCTAGAGAACAAAACAGTCTGCAGTGGTGTTTCTACAGGCAGTGCTGCTTCCACTGACGCAGGCGTCCAGGCTGGACCTGGGAAAAGCCAGGAACGCAGCCCTGGGCCAGGGTGGATAAATACGCGTGGGTTTCTTTGAGGCCGTGTCTTGTCAGAGCACCTTCTGTAGAAGAAGGGATTTTTCCTTTCTTTCAGCGTGGGCTCTGACCGCAGGTTGATTTGGTCGCATCACGAGAGGCCCACTGGTGGGTACCTCTCTGCTCGGCCGCAGGTTGGGGGATGTTTGCGTGCAGTGGCGCTCCGGTGTGCCCCGTCAGGGAAGGTGCCAGCTGCCTCCCTTGGATGGTCGCATCACGAGAGGCCCACTGGTGGGTACCTCTCTGCTCGGCCGCAGGTTGGGGGATGTTTGCGTGCAGTGGCGCTCCGGTGTGCCCCGTCAGGGAAGGTGCCAGCTGCCTCCCTAGGACAGGCAGGGGGTGAGGCATGCCCGGTGACAGCATGGGGGTCGCATGCTCTCCCGGGTCCGAGCATCAGGGGCCGGTCACAGATATACGTTCAGGCTGGAGGGATCGTCCCCGGCTGGGAGGAGCCAGCAGCTCCGCTGCTGTAAACAGTGCGGGCACCGCCGGCGGCTGGAAGATGGATATAAATAGGGAGGCAGAGGGGAGGCAGGCGGAGCGGAGCGGAGCGGAGCAGCCTGCGCCTGCC